TTTTTGAAGAACAGAAGGCCAATTTTTTTTATTACATAAGGAAAACCAAGAAGATAAAAATAAACCAGAAATAAACACTGTCAACAGTTTGAAGACTATGTAAATATATATTTAGAACCACATTTATTTATTTATTTATTTACCTATTTCTTGTAAAGATGGATTCATTTGTAGAAACAGTTTTTGAAGACCAGCAGATGGTGTAATGATTACGTCACTGAACGCCCATGTAATTGATTACAGCTCGAGTTCCGAACCGGTGGTTTTAAAACTCATGCCGGCCATGTATGTGTGCATGCCCTGTAAACCAGGAAGAGAATGGGGGAGAAGGGATTGCGATGTGGCCATCCTCCCGGGGAGTGATTTCTTGCTTTCTGTCTCTCTGGGGAGCACACTCACCCTAATAGCAAAAATCTCTCTCAAAAAATAAATGAATAAAAAGAGAGGAAGGATGGAAGGAAGAAAGAGAAAGAAAGGAAGAAAGAAAGAAAGAAAGAAAAAGTTTTGGAACCCATCTGTAAATAATCACGAAACGGGGTAGCCATGCTGGAGCCAGACGTTGGCACAGGAGTAACGTGTTCATCTGTAAGGCTGACCCATGTTGGAAAGATGTCGGTTTGTGTCTGGAAACCTCCCTGAGAATGCCAGGCCTATGTGTGCCCATCCAGTGGGGCTGACTGTCGTGGGTGTGGACTCCTAACAGAGTCTAGACCGCTAGAAGTGCTATCACTGTCTCTCACAAAACCCATACATAATTACACGTGTTTTTAACAAGAAGTGTATAACCATGAACATCTTAATTTGCCCTTCGATGGGAGGAGACTTCAAGAGGTTCATGGAAAGATGGAATTAAAGTACCAGTTCATTTCGGTGCGAGAGAAGTGAAACACTTGTGTCGTTTTTCATAATTTGCATATTCTATAAACTTTTTGAAGTCCTCACAAATTAATCCATACAATCATCATTACTGATTGAGTAGTATTTATTGGGTTGTCAGAAAAGTCATGACATATTTTTTTTTTTTTTTTGCAAAAATGTGTCATGCACTTCCGTCTCCCTAATACTTGTTTGGCTGTACAGGGAGACACAAAAGATTAAAGATAGAGTCATAGAACAAAGCCTGAGGAGGTTGTTTGAGAAAGAGAAGAATCAGAGTAGTGAATCAAATAGCTGGTGGAGAACTCAGACTGTTGTCAGATTGCCTGTTTTCCTTTCGTGGTCATGAAAGCACCAGGAAGTCTTTGGCTCTCCATGTTAGAGGTCTCTGTTCTCTAAAATGGGAAAATATGGTATCTACTTTGTACGTAAGCAAGTATTAATGAGCATTCCATACTTTATATGTCAATGAGTATGAAAGGAGATCATTCTTGGGAGGCACTTAGCACAATGTCTGGAAAGTAGTCAACATGAAAAATAGTTTGGGGTGGGCCAGCTAGTGGTGTTGTGGTGGGGACACTGGATTCCCACATGGCCTACTACAGTTCAAGTTCCAGACCCAGCAGCTTGCTTTCTCACTTTATCTTTCTCTCTCTCTCTTTTTCTTTCTGGTAAGTGTGCATACCCTATAGCAAATTAAAAACTTAATAATCCTCTTTTCCTGGCTGCTTGAGGATATACTGCCATCATGAATGACACAGTAACTATCCAAACCAGGAAATCCATGACCAACCGACTACTTCAGAGGAAAAAACTGGTCATTGATGTCCTTCACCCCAGGAAGGCAACAGTACCTAAGACAGAAATTCAGGAAAAACTAGCAAAGATGTACAAGCCTGTCATCCTTGTGTTTGGGTCAGAACCGATTTTGGTGGTGGCAAGACAATCGGCTTTGGCATGATTTACAATTCTTTGGATTATGTGAAGAAAAATGAACCCAAGCATAGACTTGCAAGACATGGCCTTTATGAGAAGAAAAAGACGTCAAGAAAACAGCGAAAGGAACACAAGAACAGAATGAAGAAAGTCAGGGGGACTGCAAAGGTCAGTGTTGGTGCTGGCAAAAAGTGAGCTGGAGATTGGAGAACAGTCGAAGGAGTAAAGATTCTGCAGTGACTATTTGTGGTGGTGTGTGGATTTTTCATGAGAAGAGTAATACACTGAAAATTTTTCATGTAAAAAAAAGCCCAACTTAATAATAATGATGAATAAAATTAAATAAATAATTATTTTTAAAAAATTTTCTAGGGGCTGGTCCTGTGGCACAGTGGTTAAGCACTGTGCAGAGGGGGTCAGGGCCAACCCAGTGGCTTGAAAAACACTCTGGCACATTCACACGTGCTCAGGATCCTGACAGGATTGAGAAATGGAGGAAAAAAAGATTACCTCATGATCAGACCCCAGAGGGGACACTGTTTTTCTCCTTCTCTTCCTTCCGTCAGTGCTTGCTCTCTCTCTCTTTCTTGTTTCTCTCTCTGTCTCTCTTTTTTTCTCTCATGTGCATGCACACTCTCTGGAATAAAAACAGGTTAATTATTGGGCTGGCTTACAGCAGAACCATTAGGCGCTTCACAGAGGGAGCTGGCCCAGGTCTGACTGAGGTTCCAGTCCTGGCCCCACTGGCTTCATGCCAGGCATAAATGCATATGTCCATGATCTTGACTGGATGGAGAACTGGGTAGAAAAGAACTGTGGTGTGATGAGGCCCTGTTAGACATGCCCTTTCTCTTGTGCAAGTGCATGCACACTCTAGCATTTTAAAAAGGGTTATTAATATTGTTACCCAGTAAACCTCTGCCATATGGTAGATACTCATTAAGTACTGCAAGTATGAGATTCAGGGAATATGTAAAGAAAAGAAGTATAAATCAGAGAGGCACTTCAAGACTCCATGCCAGAAATAGACTGTGGGGAAAAGCAATGGCTCTCAGAGGAGATTCTGGAATCGTGTCATCTTTACTAATTCTGACCATATTGCTTCACTTTTTCACTTGAGCTTCCAAGATGCAACTGGCAATGGTAGAATGTTTAATTACCATTAATAAGATTAGGGAACTTCTACCTATTAGACTGCTCTAGTTTTTGGGTTTTTACATTTTTATCTTAAAATTAAGTTTTAAAAAAGACTATTTTTTTCTTTTATATGAGAAAAAGAGAGAGAGCGAGCACACGAGCCCCAACAGGGTCTTGCCATGCTGCGATCCTCTCCCAGCCATCCAGAATCAGAGGCACACATGGGTATTCCCAGTGTGTTCAGATCAACCTGGGATCTGAACCCAGGCCTCCCATGTGGCTACAGTATTGAGTAGTGGCACACTACTGCCTGTGTCACCATGGCTGAGCATAAAAGTAAACTTTTCTTTTATATACAATAGTGACTAAACTTAAGCTTCTCATGTGCTTTCCCTTTGATAAACCAAGGGTAAACAGAGGTGCTGATTTAAGGAGATATTACACAGGTAAGTATGGGAAAGATGAAGGAAACTGGAACTTTTCTCCAACCAACTTTTATTTACAAAACCTGTTATGCTACTGGTGTTTAATTTCTGGCTACACATTTCGTAATGGGTATTCAAACTGAACAGTTGAAGCTGAACAATACATGAGAGTAAGCCACATTCTAGGGACACCAAAAGTGTCACTCTTGTTATATCTGAGGTATGGAGGTAGGTCTACGCTCTCCCTCCACTCATATCTACTGATTTTCGAGGGCTAAGGGTTATCACAAAGAAAATGAAAGTCTTGGACTTTGTCTATTCCTGGGTTCAGACTAGAGAATGTGGACGTACATCAGGAAGAGATGACAGTGCCTGAGAGGAAATGTACCCTAAGATTCAGGAGCCTGGCGAGGTGCTTTCAGGTTAGCATGAGGGTAAGAAGGGAGTAGAACTTCCAACGACATCTTGTGGCTGGCTCTCCAAACTTGCCGACATGGTCCAGCTATTCGGGTGGCGTGTCTTTTTCCGTGGGGAGAACAATGGCAGAGTGTACCACAAAGAGAGCAAGTGCATTCTCCTCCTCCCTCTTCAGAAGACCTGACAGCTGTAGTTCCAACATGGCAGGGAGCTGGCAGGGAGCAGCTTCTCCACAGGGATGGGCACCATGCCACATCATCAAGACCAGGAATGGGGGAACAGAAGTGTTGGGAGAAGCTAGGATTGAGCATCACAGTTGTTGGCCAGCAGCTGCAGCTCAACTAGTAGTGATGGAGAACACCAAAACGTTCCAGTGAAACCCAGTTTCCGTAGTGGGGATTCTAAGGTTAGGAGAGGCCAGGATAACCACGTTGTAACCAGCCAAGACTGAGGCTTTGGATTGATATCAGATATTCACTAGGGAGTCCTAGCAATGCCAGTTAGAGAAAGACATGATGCTTTGCAAGGCACTGATATTCCTGCACGAACCAGGTGAGAGCCTAAAGTTGGCAAAAGTCAGAGATTACTGCTAATATGACCTCATTTGTTTGTAGTGTTTGTGAGACTTGGAGACATTTGGACACATTAGAATTTCAGAATGTATGTGAAATCCCTGAAAACAATTAAACTGGTAGCTTATTTTCTACTTTTCATATTTAAGATCTGAGACACTATGGAACTTTTTTTTTTCTTTTTAAAAAGATTTGTTATAGGACATGTGTCCTTATGAGAGAGAGAGAGAGAGAGAGGAGAGAGAGAGAGAAAGTGAGAAAGCACCCCCCACCGGGGGTGGAGTGGTAGTGGCCATGCTGCAATCCCTTCTCCTCCATTCTCCTTTGGGGATTCTGGGCAGGCATGCACACAGACACCTGCCGAGGGTGTTTCCTGAGTCATCAGGCCCAGGATTCCAACTGTGCAGTCAGCCATGTGGGATCCAGCCACTTTAACCATCATACTGCCAGCTGGTCCGTAGAACTGCTTTTCTAAAGAGGCATTGCCATAGGGTATGTGTGCTTGCCAGAGAGAATGAGAGAGACAGAGACAGTGAGAAACAGAAACAGTGAGAGGGAAAGTGAGAAATCACCTCCCCATGTGGATGGCTACACTGCAATCCCTTTTCCCCCACTCCCCTCTGGGGATCTTGAGCATGTGTGCACATGCAGCCAGCAAGAGTTTTAAACCACTGAGTCTGTGACTTGAATTGTAGTCAGCCATGTGAGAGTCTAGCAATGTAACCACTATGCCACCTGCTGGCCCCATGGGACTATTTGTTGAATAGCAATTGCTAGGAAAACATTAAGCTAGATATATTGACACAAAGCAAAACAAATGGGCTATAGCAACATGTGACAATACAGATTAATCTTAGGAGCATATTATACATTAAGCAAAAAGTCCTAAAAAAATCCATAGAGCAATACAGCCTTTTAACCTGTAAAGTTAAAACAATGAACAGAAAAACATATAATTAAAGGAAACCTACAGATGCATTCATATGATATGATGAGAAGAGCAAAGAAATGAGAAACAGGAGATTTAGGATGGTGTTTACATCAGGCGGAGGGAGGCAGGGAATGAGTTGGGAGGGTCTGTAGTTAGACATAGCAGGTCACTGTTTCGGGGTTCACATGTGCTTAGAACAGAATGAAAACTGATTAACTCAAAAGGGTCCATGCGTGGGAACTGATGACACTGTGTCCCAGAGCAAACGTTACAATGAATACCATTCTCTGTACATGCGGTCTCAGGAATGGACAGGGAGGAGGGCAGAGGCTTTAATGTAATGAGAGGTTGATTGGGTTGGGAATCTTTTTAGTACAAAAATGCACTTCGGATAGAATTAATTTAAAAATATTTTTTTCTGTAACTTATTTTGGTCATTTCTAATTTGGTAGGAGTAACTACTCCAGTCACAATAAAGGAAACAAAGTTTAGAGCAAATTGTTTATACACAGATAGCCCCATTTATTATAAAGCAAATGGCCACAATGATGCCTTTATGGTCCTGGGTGCCATTTTGCCCTCTGTTCCACAGCCCTAGGAACTGAGGGCTCGCCTGCCTTGTCATGTCTCCACTGGAAAAAGAACGCAGTACTTGCTCTCACGTGCTGCCTGCTCTGTTCCTGGACTCCAGCACAGAGGCAATCTGCAGACCTTTTGCACAGCTCCATTCCCCTGCTGTCCAGACCAGCCTCCTGGGAGGTGGTCTGGGAGAGGGGAAGGTGCATGGCTGGAGAGGATGGGGAGAAAGGCCCAGGCTGCTGTCTGGGATCTCTGCAGACCCCTCCGGGGCTAGGGGCTAGTGTTCTGAGGCTGCTGTGCATGTGGGAGATTCTCGTATTCTGCAGCATCTTCGTGGGCGCTGCCTCCAGGCTCTGTGCACTTGTTTTGGTCTATCTTCTTTACTTCTGAATACAGAGTTGAAGGTTCCTGGAGGAAAAGTCCCACAAACAGTAAGTACCTAAATACAAGTGAGGAGGAACAGAAAGGTAAGAAAGGCAGGAAATGGGGCTCACCTTACCCTCCCGATCCAGACTTGTTGAAGATGCTGTTGGATGAAGTGGCAAAGAAGGTCAGTATCTGCCAACCGACCGCCTACTCACAGTACTTTCCGAGCCAGGCCCACCTCTTCTTCTGCTCCTCTCTTGTCTACGTCCTCCGCTGATTCTTCCAAGCCCTCACAGGAGTGTGCTCCCCCCCGCCACACGCATATACATGAAGCCTTTCCTCTGCCCACCAGATGCCCAGACAGACTTTCCTGATGACTTATTTCCTTCTCGCTCCTCTGCTCATCACAATCCCAGCAGAGCAGCCCCCTTTTCAGGGCTCATCTGGAAAAAGGTGTGCAAATATGTCCTACTTCATTCTGCACAGGGGAAGTGGAAGACAGCATAGAGGGGCTGGCATTAAGGCTACACAGCAATATCCCAGGAAGCCAGAGATTTGGAGTGGAATGACAAGAGAATCCATTATGTATGCTGTTTCTATCCTTTCAAGGTGTTTTTTTTTATATCTTTTTCATGTATTTAATCAGCCAGTAAACATTCACTGAACCATTGACTTCTGTGGGGATTAGGTAAACTATAAGGAGAAAGAAATGACAGAAACTATCCATACAATCAAGGTGCCTGTAACTTTGAAGAGCAGAAATCAACATGGAAACAAATATAGTAAGTATTACGGACACCAAGACAGAAACACACACTGACCTATGCCATTGCCACAGTGGTTATGTGGGAGGGCAGCGGGAGTCACTATGTCTCACAGTGGTATCTGAGCTGGGTCTCTAAATGTGAACAGAGATCTTCAGGTCAACTAGGAGCAAGGACATTTTTAGGACAGGTAAGAAGACTGGGGCCAGCAGGTGGCATGGTGGTTAAGGTGTTGGACTCCCACATGGCTGACTGCAGTTCTAGTCCTGGATCTGGTAGCTTGTTTTCTCACTTTTCCTCTCTCCCTCTGTCTCTCTCTCTGGTGAATGCATGTGCCCTATAGCAAATTGAAATAATAATAATGATAAATAAAATTAAATAAATAAGTCTAAAAAAGAAAAAAAGAAGTATGAGCACTAAAATATTCACTCACAAGAACCCAAGGAACTTACTCTGTTGAAGAGATAACAGCATTCATGTCTATTACAACATTATTATTCACAACAGCTAAGACATGGAACCAACTAAGTGTCCATCAACTGATGACTGGATTAGGAAAATGTGAAACATATAATAGTATAATACTCATTCATAAAGAACAGTGAGATTCTGTAATTTTTTTACATAGTAGATGAATTTATGAGATTTAATGCTAAGTAAAATAATCCGGACTATGAAAGGCAAACATAGTCTGTCCTCACTTGGCATATATCGAATGTCTGTATTCTGTGACAGAGATGGGAAGATGTGAAGGCAGGAAAGTGGAGAGGGTAACTAACACCGGAGACCACACAGGGTGGTGAGGGGTGGAGGGCAGAGCTCAGTAAAACCATTTATCAGACGCAAGATGCATGTAAACAAGGAAATCAGGTTACAGAACACTATACCGCACGGAGTGAAAAAAGGGCATTGCCAATCGTATGTATATATCTCAAAAAAATATATAGTAGAATGAAAATTGTAAGTATACAACGTAATATAATGTTGACGATAATGCATACGGTAATATCCTCGATTTGATTATCACACATTGCATGCATGCTTTAAAAAACCATGTTGTACTCCACGAAGAAGTACAACAATTACTTATAAATAAGAAATAATAAAACGAAATGAAAGTTTTTAAAAAAGGAAAGAAAATGCCAAGAGTTTAATGCAGGTAGTAAGGAAGGACCTTAGGCAGATCTCGCTGCAGGCTTTGAAGTGTAGAGGGAGGCAAAAGTCATGCTGTGGAACAGAGAGCACTGAGGGCAGTTAATCTTGGCCATGACTAACCAAGTGCACATCTCAGAGGGACCATACTGGAAATGGATTGTGGGAAGGCTGGAGGAGAACAAGGCTAGAAATAATTAGACCTGTTAAGAGAATTACAATTCTTTACATATTAGATTAAGAGAGGCTTAATCTAGCAAAGAATGGTCACTCATTCATTCAGAAGATATTTTAGGGGGCCTACAGTTTTCTAAGTATTGAGCTAGATGCTATGGATAATACTGAAAAAGTCATTGCATATATCTTCCAAGAGTTTAAGGGATAATGGTGGCTGTGTGAGAAAGAGGAAATGGGACAGATCTGAGCTGACTCCACAAAGACGCCTTGCTGGATGCGATAACACACTGCCACCTCACCTCTACTTGTCTGAAAGGCATCTCACCTGCATTTTGTTGTGTCCGCTGGAAGCTCCAGACCTGGGAATAAATGAGGGTGCTTTTCTCAGGATTCACTGTGAGGGAAGAGAAGAGATCACAGTCCGCTGTGGTTAAGAACCCACATTCTAGACTCTCCTTCCCAGTGCTCACAAGCACTTTCTACCCCTGCTGGAGTGCCAGAAAGGTCATTTTAAAATTGAATGTGATAGGGCCATGGGCTGTTGTTCAGTACCGCCTCCCTCCCTGGCTCATCCCTGGAGCCCTCTGCCCCTTAGGGAGTCCTCACCATTGTTGTACACTGGCTGCAGCTCCATTTGGGCTAGTGGCTCAGAGTGGGTAGGCTCTTGAGGGTCTGTACGGAAGGGCCTTAATAAGGAAAGCTCATTAGAACTGTAACTGACAGAAGGGAACTGGGAAGTGGACAAAAAGGGTTCATAGGTTACAGAGTCTCAGGGAAATCAGTATCTAGGAAGGACAGAGCCAACACATTTCATGTAAAGACCTTGTGGCTACGTCTGCATAGCCCTTGCAAGGAAAAATCAGAAGGAATGTGGTACATGGTGGAGCCTAGGGCAGCATTACAGAGCAGGCCATCCCAGGAAAGGTCAGAGTGCAAAATCATACCACCTCAAGGCCCCTTTGATAGGGTAACCATTCATATTTGTCTACTTTTTTACATTGTTTTCAAAAATGTAAATGTTTAGGGGCCAGCAGTTGGCTTAGTGGCTATGGTGTTAGATTTCCACATTACCAACTGCAGTTCAAGTCTTGGACCAGAGGTTTGAAAATCATGTCAGGTGTGTGTGCATGCATGCTCAAAATCCCAGGAGGAGAATGGAGGAGAAGGGATTGTGGTGTGACCATGCTTCCTAGGGGTGATTTTTTAACTTTCCCTCTCACTGTCTCTTTATTTCTCTCTTATAAGTGCAAGCATCCTATAGCAGAAACCTTTAAAGAAAAAAGTAAATGGGGACCAGTAGTTGGCGTAATGGCTATGTCTCTGGATTCCCATGTAGTCGACCGCGGTTCACGTCCTGGACCCGATGGCTTAAAACTCATGCCGGGTGTGTGTGCGTGCGTGCCCAAGATCCCGAGAGGAGAGTGGAGGAGAAGGGATTGCGGCATGGCCATCCCCCCTGGGAGGCGATTTCTCGCTTTCTGTCTCTCTGTCTCTCTCTGTCTGGTGAGCGCATGCACCCTATAGCAAAAACCTCTAAAAAAAAAAAAAAGAAAAGAAAAAAGTAAATGTTTAGGCATTGATGTACCAAGATTTCTGCATCCTCACAAAACATAACTTTTGTCTTATTTAAGAGGTCGCTTTGGGGCGAGCCTTACAGTGCACTGGTTAAAAGTTGTGCATTGGAAGCCAGATCTCACATGACCAACTATCATTTGAATCCTGGCCTGGTTAGCTTGAAAAACATGCTGAGCACATGTGTATGCATGCCCCAAATCCTACGGGATGAAGAATTGAAAGGATTGTGGCATGATCACACCCGTCGAAGGGGTGCTTTCTTTTTTTTTTTTGTCCTCTCTATGTCTCTCTCTGTGCCCTCTGAAGATTTTTTTAAAAAAGGTCTCTTTCAATTTTTGATATCATATTATTAATATAATAATCTACTTTTCCTATAAAATGCAAGGAAGACTCCTCAAGAAAAATGCAGTTGCTTTATTCAGTTTTGTTTTCTTCTGAAGTTAATATTGTAAAATTAACAGTATCAGCATTCAACAGTTATTTCCTAAACGAGTATATGAGTGGAGGAGTGAGGACTAAGGAGTCGAATGAATTATAGCCCAGTGAGAGATGACATCATTAAGATGTCAGTGGTTGGTTCTACCAGAGCACATTTAACGAAGTCGATAGATGAACATGGAAAGCAAATAACATTCTGTGCATAAGTAGACATAAGTATCATTCACAAATATGAACAAAAGTGACCTTCTAATCACATTTTTGGATTTTGTAAGAATGTGAAAATATTGATAGGGGGAACCAGCAGTTAGCGTAATGGCTATGTCGCTGGATTCCCACGTAGTCGACTGCGGTTCGTGTCCCGGACCCAGTGGCTTAAAACTCACGCCGGGCGCGTGTGCGTGCATGCCCAAGATCCCGAGAGGAGAATGGAGGAGAAGGGATTGCGGCGTGACCATCCCCCCTGGGGGGTGATTTCTCGCTTTCTGTCTCTATGTCTCTCTCTGTCTGTCTGGCGAGCGCACGCGCCCTACAGTGAAAATCTCTCAAAAAAAAAATATATATTGATAGGGAGACCAGCAGATGGCACAGCCATTATGTCACTGAACTCACATGGCTGACCACCTGCCCTGGTGGCTTGAAAATTAAACCAGGTACTTGTGTGTGCATGTCCAAGACACTGGGAGGATAATGGAGAAAAAGAGATCTCCCTCAAGGAGGTGCTTTCTCTTGCTCTTTTCCTCTCCATGCCCCTCTCTGTGCCCTCTGAAGACTTAGAGGCATGGCCATCTCCTCTAGGGGGTGATGTCTCACTTTCCCTCTCGCTGCCTCTCTCTCTCTCTGTCTCTCTGGGCAATGCATGTACTCTAAAGCAAAAACCTCTTAAAAAATGTTAATAGGATGTCCATTCAGATCTTTCTAGAATGTACATTGTTATGTACTCTTATCTCGTGGGTCTATAAATAAGTCAAGAAAATGTTGGCAGCATGAGAAATAGAGACCTTACCTGGAAGTGTTAGTGGTGGAAAGTCCTGCAAAACAAACAAAAGTGGAGAGTGAGCTGTGTAGACAATGTGCTCTGTGTTAGAACATGCTTTCTTAGAAATCATGCACATTCTAGATCTCAGCTACTGCAAATCTCAGGGAACGTCCTATTTCACCCCTACTCCCATGTCATACTACACGTGAGGAAGGTGGGGTCTTGATGACACTTGCCCAGAGTCACACTTTTCTGGATCAGTTTTCAACCAGTAATGGCCACATGAATAGCAACTCTAAGTATTAATAGTTCTGATATAGCATCAGAATGGAATTAAGGTAATTGTTAAGTACTTTCCCAGACTCATTCCTTTATACTGACTGTATAGACAGTATAGACAAGGGGGCTGAGGTTCAGAAAGCCCAAGAGGGAATTAAAATTGATACAAAATTCTTACACAAGGATGAGTCAATGGACTACTGTAATAAGACTGACTCTCTCCTTCTCTAACTGTGACACTGTAAATCCATTCCAGCAACAGTGGACTGTGAGTCATTTGGATACACACTGCTTTTTTCATACTTTTCTTCTTCCATTCCCTTTACCTGGCTAATCCCAATTTACTTTCCTCCTTCACCACTTTCTCTGCTAACAAACTGGATCTATGTCCATAGATGGCAAATCAGGTAATATTAAAATGACCTGGGCCAGCAGGTGGCATGGAGGTTAAAGTACTGGATGCCGAATGGCTGGCGGCTCTGTTCGAGTCTTGGAACCAGTGTCTTGAGAATCACACCAAGTGCATGAACAGAAGTATGCCCAAAATACTTAGAGAAGATTAGAGGAGATGGACTTGCAGCATAGCCATACCCCCTGGGATATAATTTCTCACTTTTCCTCACTCTCTATCTCTCTCTGGGGAGTATACATGCCCTATAGCAAAAACTAAAAAAAAATTTTTTTTTAAATTCTGTGTTTATCTCTAATTCCCCACCTTATGAAAGCTATGCTATTTGAGGCTGCAAATGTTGTCCCTGAGAAAGTAAGGACAGAAGTATTTGGCCTGACAGAAAAGGTGATGGCACATTGTACCACATTTACTTTCAAACAGAAAAAAAAAAAAAATTTAGTAATTCCAGAATTCAGTCTTAAAACCTTTGTAAGGCAAAACATTGAATAAAAAAGCCCATGCATTCCAGTATTCTTGATCCATGAAAAAATATACTGAGAGAAAATTAAAAGCAGTAACAGAAAAACAAAGATAAAGATGTCAGCAAATTTCTCGTCAGAAACGATGCACATAGAAGACTGGAAAAATGTCGTTAAAGTACTGGGAGATAGATAATTATCGATCTAGAATTCTATGTTGGCAAAAAGAAAAAATGTAAATGAATCCAAAATAAAAATTTTTACAGACATTAAAAAAAAAAAGCTGAAAGAATTCATCACCAGCAGGTCTGTATTATAAAAACAATATTCTGGTAAGCCTTTGGGACCCAGCCACAATGGTGTGCTGCTAAGATTCCGTGCTCTGGTGGGGGCCACCTGGGAGACCTAAGATTGATTCCTAGTCAGCCTAAAGGCCTGGCATGGTAGTTTGTACCGTAGTCTCAGCTGGGAGGCTGAGGCAGGAGGATCACAGAATGATAAGACCCTGTAACCTTGTAGAAGGGAAAGGGAAAGGGAGAGAGAAGCAGCAGGAGAAGAAGCTATTCATTGAACAGAAAGAAAATGGAAACATGGAAATATAATAAAGAATGTCACTAGTAGGTGGTGTGCAGGTTAGGGCAGCTGGATCCCGCATGGCCAACTGTGTGGTTTGAGTCTGGACCTTGAAAATCATGCTGGGTGCATGTGTGTGCATGCCCAAAATCCCAAGAGGAGAATGGAAAAGAAGTGATTACCCCCATGGGACAATTTCTCACTTTCTCTATCTCTGTCTCTCTCTGGCTTTCTCTCTGCAGAGTACAAGCATCCGATACCAAAAAATAAAAATAAAAATTAGAAAAATACATATTAAAAGTGGTAACTACATGTGTAAATATATAATATTTTCTATGTATAAAATCTCTTTTGGACCAGCAGATGGCGAAAAGGTTATGTCGTTGGACTCCCGTGTACTGGACTGTGGTCTGAGTTCTAGACTTGGCAGCTTAAAACTCACACCAGGTACATCTGCATGAATGACCAAAGTCTAGAGAGAAAAATGGAGGAGAAAGTATTGCAGAATGATCATCCCCCTTGTGGGGTGATTTCTCTTGTTCTGTCACTCTGTTTTTTTCCGTCTCTACAGTGAGCCTACATCCCTATAGCGAAAATCTCTCTCAAAAATAACAAAGTTCTGGGACCAGCAGTTAGTGTAATGGCTATGTCGCTGGACTCCCCGTAGTCGACCGCGGTTCGAGTCCCGGACCTGGTGGCTTAAACTCACGCCAGGCGTGTGTGCTTGCGTGCCCAGGATCCCGAGAAAAGAATGGAGGAGAAGGGATTGCAGCGTGGCCATCCCCCCTGGGGGGTGATTTCTCACTTTCTGTCTCTATGTCTCTCTCTGTCTGTCTGGCGAGCTCACATGCCCTATAGCAAAAACCTCTCCAAAATTAGAAAAATAAAAAGTTCCAAAAAAATTGATTGTTTGTAAATTAAAAACAATGTAGCTGGAAAACAGAAAATAGAAATATACTACAGGAAGATTTTTATTTTATATGTGAAGTGATATAATATCACTTGAAGATAGGCAGATGTATACTATAAAGCCTAAAGCAACTACTAAAATAAAACAAATAGTTATAGCCAATAAATCAATACAGGAAATAAAATAGAATCTTTAAAAAAACACTTGATGGGGAAGGCCAGTAGGTGGTTTGTTGAGGTGCTTGATTCTCACTTGCTAATCACTGTTTGAGTCCTGGACCCAATAGCTTGAAAATCACTCTGGGCATGGGTGCATGCATTCCCAAAATCCCAAGAGAAGAATGGAGGAGAAGGAATTGCAGAGTAGCCATCCCCTCTGGAGGGTGATTACTCACTTTCTCTGTCTCTATCTCTCTGCAGTGAGTACATGTGCCCTATGGCAAAAACCTAAAACATACTTAATAGATTCAAAAGTAAATAGACAAAAAAGGAAAAGAAATTTAAAAAACAAATGGTACACATAGAAAACAAAGAGCAAAATAGACTTAAACCTATTTATAAAAATGATTATGTTGATGTAAATGATCTAAACACTTTACTTAAAAGGTAGAGACTACCATATTGGACTTGATAAAAAGCAAATATTAACCATATGTTATTCACAGAAATCATACTTTTTTTTATATATATTGCCAGAGGGTATGTGCACTAGGCACAGAGAGACAGAAAGATAGAAACAGAAAGAGAGGGAAAGAAGCACCACCCAATGGGGGTATGGCTGCACTGTAATCCTTTTTCTTCCATTTCTCCATACCAGCAGGATTTGGGGCACACAGACACAAATGTGTGGTATTTTTCCAAGACACCAAGGCCAAGATTCAAACTGTGATCTCAGCCATGTGAGATTCAGCTCCAAGTGCAGAGCATTTAGCTCCCAGGCTATGAGACCAATCCTAATTTTTTTAAAAAAATAGATTTTAGTGAACTGCAGTTAGTATAATAGCTATGTCGCTGAACTCCCATGTAGTTGACTGTGGTTCAAGTCCCGGACCCTGTGGCTTTAACTCATACCGGGTGCGTGTGCGTGTGTGCCCAAGATCCTGAGAGGAGAATGGAGGAGAAGGGATTGCGGTATGGCCATCCCCCAGGGGGTAATTTCTCACTTTCTGTCTCTCTGTCTCTGTCTTTCTGGTGAGTGCACATGCCCTATAGCAAAAACTTCTCCAAAATAAATAAATAAAAATTAAAAATTAAAAAATAAATTTTAAATGTAAGACACAAATAGGATAAAAGTAAAAGGACGAGGAAAAATGCCATGCTAACACTATATTAGTATGTTAATGTCAGAAAAATGACTATTTCGGAGCACATGATACCATCAGGGATAAAGAAAGTAATTTCACAAGGCTAAAATGGTTAAAGAATCAAAACCACATAACAATTCTAAACATTTATGCAACTAATAATGAATATAACATTCTCAAAAGCCAAACCTAGTAGAATGGCATGAAGAGTTGGACAAATTCACCATTCAGTTGAAGATTTCGATAACCCTATTTCAGTAATTGATAGAAAAAGTAGACAAAAAAATTAGTAAGAACAAAGAATATAATAAAGCTATAAATCAAGTTCACTAGAAGATCCCTACTTTAAGAAAAAGTCTTTCAGACAGAACCAAAAAGATATCAGGAAAATATGGTTATATACAAAGGAATGAATATTGGAATAATGGATGTGGTAGCTAAGTGGGTATTATCTTCACACCAAATCATAAAAAGGCATGCCAAAAAAGAAAGCTACCAACTAATATCCCTCGTAAACACGAATGCAAACATTCTTAGGATTTTAGCTAAAATCTTACAGCTAAAGAGTATGCACAAAAAACCCACAGTTCACATAACACTTAGTAGTGAGAGAGTGAATACTTTCTCCCTATGATCAGGAACAAGACAGTGATGTCTATGTTTACCACTTCTAGTTGACATTGTATACACAGTTCTAGCCAGTGCAATCAAGCAAGAAAAATAAATAAAAAGAATTAAGATGGGGAAAAAAAGGAGTAAAGCTGTCCTTATTAGCAGACAACATAATCATCTATGTAGAAAATCTGAGGAAATCTACAAAACCCACACCAGAAATAATGAATGAGTTTATCAAGATGTAGGATATAAGGTTAACAAATAAAAATGTATTTCTATATACTAGAAATAACCCAAAATTGAGTTTTTAATCTCATTCTTAATATTCACTATTAATTTATCCAGATTTTCTATCAGTGTCAAAGGGTTTTTGAACGTGAACACTAAGGCTCAGGGCCTTGGAGATTGTTCTTGATTTCAGGGAAGAAAGAGAAAGGGAATACATTTTAGTTTTAGATGCTGGTGACCACCCTTCATGAGCCATTGTTTTGGAAATTTCAAATTATACTGGAGATAATTCAAATGAATAAATCATACTATATTTGACGTGTTCAAATAGTTCACACCTTTTTCGTGATAAAAATAGGTAAGTGGAGGACTTTTTCTATTTTTTATGCTTTTTGTTTTCAGTGAGCCTTAGAATAAAAGTAGAACAGCAAATTCTAAATTTTCTAATTTGTATTTAGAAGTGCAACTACTTAAGTTTTCATTTAAGCAATGAGGTTAAACCCTCATGGAGAAGTTTAGTCTTCCTTTCTTTTCTGTTTCCTACAAGTGACTATGAGTATTCCTACTGAAGACTTTAGTACTCAGGAGGGAATAATTGACTCTGCAGGATGCACCACTAACTCCAAATTAGTACACCAATGACCAAATCTAAGACTTCAAAGGGCAAACCCTACCCGATTTCCTTTGGGTCCTGAAATGATTCATGAGGGCAGCAGTAGCAATAAGACCAAGGATGCTGAGAAGCCCGCCAATGACTCCTGCAGAGATAAGGCCTGTTTGGTTCCTGGAAGTCCCTGAGGGGGGAAATACATGCTTGAGTTCCATAGCAAAGATTTTGGACCCAGAGAAAAGCCATGTGGTTGGAGCTAGAGGTCTGTGTGAGCAGGTGTTTGCCAGATTCTGATTTGTCCATTTGAATTAACTCCAGTATAATTTGAAATTTTCAAAACAATGGCTCGTGAAGGGTGGTCACCAGCATCTAAGATTAAAATATATTCCTTTCTCTCTCCCCCATGAAATCAGGACCCATCTCCAGAAACCCAAAGCCTTGGTGTGCATGTTCAAAAATTCTCTGACACTGGCAGAATTTGTGCAAACTGTTGGAGAAATTTTTTACTGGCTGTAACTTTGACTTCCAGCCCAGGAACCATTCACTCACCTGTGACTCTGAGTGTCACCACCTCACTCTGCTGAGCCCCCAGGCCATTGTCAGCCTCACAGGAGTAGTTTCCAGACTGTTCTGCAGTCAGGGTGAGATTGAAGGCTATTCCTCCTCCATTGGGGGCTGAGTCATTCCACAGAGTCACATCCTCATAATAAAACCGATACAGAACTGGGGGAGAGCCACTGAGGGCCTCACAGAAAAGCTCCAGCACATCCCCTTCTACAGCCTGGGCCCTGGGGCCCCTGAGGGTGAGGATGGGGCGTGTCACTGGAACTGAGGGAAGAAAAATATTTCATTGGTAATTTTGCTGAAGGATGTAGACAAGAGAACTTAATAAGGGAATATGCAACATAGTTTAGTAGTGGGGAACCTGCAGATGGCATAACAGTTACATTGCTGGACTTTAACACAGCCAACCACAGTTCAAGTCCCGGACCTGGTGTCAAAACTCAAACCGGGCATGTGTGGGTGTGTGTATAAGATCCTGGGAGGAAAATGGAGGAGAAGGGATTGTGGCGTGGCCATCTCCCCCCAGGGAGTGATTTCTTACTTTCTGTCTCTCTCTTTCCCCCTCTGGTGAGCACACTTGCCCTATCTTCACTTGCAAGTATCTTCAAAAAGTGATCTTTTAATAATACTCTTATCAGGACTAGCAGATGACATGATGTTAAGGCACTTGACTTACATGGCTGAGCATAGTTCGAGTCCTGGACCTGGCAGCTTTAAAATCACACCAGGCACATGTGAGTGTATGTCCAAAATCCCAGGAGGAGAATGGAAAAGGGACTGTGGTGTGGCCATCCCCCTGCAGGGTGATTTCTCACTCTCCCTCTCACAGTCTCTCTCTTTCTCCTCCCTGGTGAGCCATGTGTCTTATGGCAAAAACCTTAAAAAAATACTCATATCATTAATGCTTTTCTAAACTCATGCTATAGAGATAATGTGAAAAATACTTATTTAAAAATAGTTGTACTTCTATGTGATTTTATTACCAGAAAATGTAGAAATGTTACTATGTTAAAAATTTAAGTCTGCACAATTCAAAATTCATGGAAACAGAATGTTGCAACTAGTTTTTACTTTTTCCAAAGCTTGAACCTATTTGTTATAAATTCAGCAGGTAACACTTCCAACTTACAAAACTGATAGTTACTAATCTAATTTTGGATAAAATATTTGTATAATTAATAAATGAAATTTTAAAAAGTGAGTATCAAGGATATGAAAGAGTAACCAGTGATGCTCTGCTTCTCCCTGGTGCTGGGTATATTGGTAAAACAACCTTTTTAAATGAATTGTTTTATTTATTATTTTCCAGTTTTGCTATAGGTCACATGTGCTCACCAGAGACAGACAGAGAACGAGAAAGAGAGGGAAAGTGAGAAAACCAGCTTCCAGGTCCAAGACTTGAACCGTGGTTGGTCATGTGTGAATCTAGAACCTCAACCACCATGCTACCTGCTAACCCTTTGGTACTGTAACTTTCAAGCCATCAATCACTGAAACTGATTGGAATAAGGCAAACTCAGAACCACACTTCAAATAACTATACCACAAAAAGTAAACTAAGATTTTTTTAAAAAATAAAGTGTATCCGCGGGCCCCCGC